CAGCCTCTTCAACACATCACTGAACTACTTATCGTGAAGGGTCGAGTGTATGTCGTGGCAGTTCGGCCAGTTTTGCTATACGACACAAAAACTTGGATAAAACAGGATAAATACAGGCTGGCGATCTATGCAGCATTGCATGAATCTGGTGGGACAGACGGACGAGCAACGCTGAGGTTAGGCGCCAAATTCAGGTAACCACGGTCGCCCATTAGTGAAAGTGGTCGACCTTCATAGATTACAGTGGGTGGGACATGTGTTACGCATGTTACCAGATAGGTTACCACGACCAGCGATGTTTGCCGAGACAGGTACTGGGTGGTAAAGACAAGGGTGATCAATCTGAGACCTGGCATGAGGGTATGAAAACCCTAGCCAGGGGACTGAGTTACATAGGTCCCGTTAAGCTCCCTGGCTGGGGACCTCGGGATGATCGTAACCGATGGTTAGAGACAGTGAGTGATATGGCTGTGTCGTAAACATTGGCGTTCGTGCATTTTCTCCATTCCTTTGCATCCTTGGTCCACTGAAATTCTTCATTTTCTATTCGACTCAACTTTTCACCTTCCTGTCTTTCATACTGCTCTTTTATCCAAATGAGCAGCCAAAAGACAGCAACCAAACCAGTCCATGATCAACGGTTGTACAAGCTAAACTGAAACTATCGTGAACAAAAGCAACGTACCGAATCGTACTAATCGCATTGCGAGTCATTTTAATACACAAACGCAATACATATGAAATGACTCAAAATGAATAAAACCAATAAATGGCAGTGCTGAAAACGTAGCCTAACAACTGACGTTTACATACAATAATTACGAGTACAAATTATTTCAAGACGAGTCACCTGTAAGTTACGAACAACAAGTTCGAATCGCTCCGTTCCCGAAGTCATTGTCTTTGTGATGATTGTTTACTGGAAAAGAATCAATGACAATAGGCAAATGCATCTGTACAGTGCATGATAACTAGGAATGCAGTGAAATTGAACCTTTTATAATCAGAACTGCTCGAAAACCGAAGCAATATATTGTTAAATGAAAATTGCTGTTCAATTTTGGTTCTTAAAAACAAAATATATATATTCATCAAGGAGGCTAATGCGTTAGCTCCCTCTCACGCAAAACCTCAAGAGGTAGAATCTAACAATATCCGTCATCAGAATAAGTGTCAAACAAATCGCGGCACAAAAATCCCGATGGAAAAGAAAACCAATTCCATAGACACGATTCACTTGCACCGTTATGCTTCCCGAATGTTCCCGGTCAGTTATCGTACGACTGTCGATGAAGCAGATAATCTTCATCTAATATACAGGTCAAAATGAAGAACTTTCCATTTGAGATTGTTACTCACAGGACACAAACCAATCGGTGACTTCAAAATCGCTAAATTTACAAGGTATAAATAGCTGAGATATCCATTAAAAGAACCAACTGCGTATGACTAGGCAATGTGAACAGTTAGGATAGTGCAGTCAATACCTTTTATCCGTTCACCATTGTAACAGTCAAACCTGTTTCCAAGGCAAATGCGTAGGCAGGAATAAACGTGGATAACGATGCGCCAATGAGCTGAGGCAAACATTTAAATAAGCTAGCATTCGGGTAGAATGCATCATAAAATTTACGAAGAAACCAATTAGCAATCTTGACCCCAGATCTCATCCACTCAGACCGGAATAGTTGGGCATAGGACAGTTTATCGGTCACAACGACGTGCTGCTGGTCATAGACATGATTATTATCACCGTACAACAAAATACGGTGAAGCAAACTTGGCTAATCACTGAACATAGAACAACCCTCGGTAGATCAAAGCATGTACTAAAAATGAGTATTCCTAACATACTTTGGGGCTATCAACTTTCAAATCAATATATTCTCACAACTTAACACTTCAATACAACCACTATAATGATTGATAGGAATAGGGTGCTAACAACTAAAAAGATCGTTTTCACTTATTACTTCTTCTGGCTAATAAGCATGGCACGTGACAACTGATTTTGCGTTTTTCCTTCTCTCCCTTCGTCCTATCTCTCTGCCAATTTCCTGTGTAGTTTCTCCTAACGACCTCCTAAATCTTTCCCAACTACAATTACGTACACTTAAATTGATTGATCGGAAAAATCATTTGGGCATTATTTGTTACACATGTGCCATGGACTGATATGATGTGTTTACACCTGAATAGAGTCAAGTTAAACTCCATCAATCAAGGGTGTACTGTAGATGAGATAACAAAGTGAAGACTCAAGTTGGAACAGGCTTATTTATTCCGTGTTTGAAGGAAAGGAGGTTAAGGGATAGAGAAAGAGAGGAGAAAGTACTTCATGGTTTTATAATTCTTGGGGAAAAAAGATGATTTGAAGTTAGAAGCAAGGCATGTGAAGAACATCACTTGAAACAGATGATCGACCGCCCACATGAGGGATCAACGAGGATGAGCAAGTGAGGAACGGACGGAAAAGGTAAGTTCAGTTGAACAAAATTCAAACAAGCATCGACCGAATAAGCCGCTGCTCAGCGACGAGATGACGACTAAATTGAATGTGAGGAACCGGTTATTTATGAGGCGAGGGGCTTTTAGATAATGGAAGTCAGATTGTACATTTATTCTCCGAAATTCGGTATCTTTGTCCACTCGGGGAGTAGTAAAGAATAACAACCAGCTTTTTTTATTACACTCCTTAGTGCGATGAACGGCAGATGGAGCGGACCCCGTAGTCACGAAGACCTGCTGTTCAATGGTCGTAACCGGCAACCTAAGCCTCGGGACTTGGAGTGGAGAACCACATAAGGCCCCGCTAGGTCAGGCGTGGTATTGAACCGGATGACAGCAAAGCTGCCTATCACCTAAGTTGGGTGGCGGTGGTGAGACTCGAACCCCGGACCATAGGATCCAAAGCAAGCTGATGACAGCGAATAAACCACTGCACCACTACCACAAGGGAAAGTTATCTCATTCCAATGGTTTACCTTGCTTTATGCTCGAATGTATCTTAAGGCA